AACCGGGGAGGACACCGCAGGGATGGCAGGGAGGTGCCTGGAGGCGGGCACTCAGGCAGACGCCGGACACCGGGCACCGACGCTCTAGTTCGCTGCCCCGCGCGCTCCGCTGGGCCTGTGCTCAGCACTGCTTAGAGTATGGCGGGGAACAGCCTTCTGGGGGACCTCCAGCGTCCCGACCCACACTTCCCGTGCAGTGGTCACTGCCTGCAGTGTCACGCCTTCTCAGGGGATAGCACTTTCATCCTCGCCTACAGGAGAGGAGACCGAGGCTCCAAGACTGTCACTCGCCCCAGGTCTCAGAGTCCCTGTCACGGGCCCCAGGGATGCGCTCCCTCTGGCCAATGACTCCCAGGACAGGTTAGGGGCTCGCCTGTGTGCCCCTGACTTCTGACCTGGGTGGCTTGCTGGGACCCTCATTTACGTGAGCATGTTGTCCGGTAGATGGTCATGCGCAGCCTGTGCCTGAGGTGTTTCAGCGTGTCCCGAGCAGAGACAGTGGCGCAGCTGAGGGCCACAGAGCCCCAGGCGGCCGTCGTGGGTGACCGGCAGTGGCTGTACCAGACGTGTACCGAGTTCGGCTTCTGTGAGTGACAGGCCCAACCCTCACCCCCAAACGTGGGTCCTGTGCTGGGCCCAGGGAAGGCGTCTTAGAGTAGGTGGGACTCATTCTCATTCCCATCGCCCCGCGGAGCGCACTCCTGGGCCTTGCGGATCGGCAGGTGTCTCCAGCGTTTGCTGAGCCCCACGTGCCTCCTGGCACACTGGGGCCTCGGCCTGAGCCTGAGCGCCTCCCTTCCAGCTGCAGTCTTCTGTCCCTGCCCCAGGGAAGGCACGCCCCTCCCCAATCGCAGGGCTAGGAACCTGAGCCGTGCTCGAGAAAGCTCCTTCCCATTGTCCTGATAACCTGTCAGTCACCGAGTCCCGCTCACTCTGCATCCTGGACAGCCCTCCAGCCCACCCTGGGCTCGCTCGCTGTGCGCTGAGGTCCCCGCCAGCCTGAGTCTCCACCTGGACGGCAACTTCCCACAGCATCCAGAGAGCAATTTTCAAACGTGACTGTCCCTCCTCTGCTCAGAACCTTCCATCGCTCCTCAGTGACCCCAGGGTAGCGTGAGATTAAATATAGAATGTCCCATTACTTTTGAATTTCAAATAGGAAGAATTTAGTATAAGTCTATTCCAAATACTGCATATATTTGAAAGATGAGTTTATCTGGAATTCTAATTTAACTGGACGTCCTGGGTTGTTAAATCCAGCCACCTCACCAGAGAGCTAAATTCAAAATCCTTTCTGTATCCTTTGGGGGCAGTGAGGGTAAAGGTTCGAGCAAAGTCTCCAAACTCCAGCTCCTTTTCCCATCCACGCAGTTGTGTGGGGACGTAGCCTCTGTGCTTTCGTTTCCACGTCTATGACGGGAATGGCCCGTCACCGTGCGGGAACAGGGCAGGTGCCCGCAGGGACTCATGGCGCCTGTGGCCACTGTTAAGAGACATGCTTTGACCCACTGAGTCCATCTTCCAGACACCTCAGGACTCGCACATGCTCCTCAACAGTTCACTCACTTGCAGTCTTAACACAAGGCACCCCCTCCTCGAGAAGCCTTCCATGATCCCTTGAGATAGGTGGGCCCAGCCGCCTCCCACTTCGGTAGCTCCGAGTTCTCTTTAGTGGTTCCATCCCCCCACCCCCCACCCCCGTGGTTTCACTGCCCGCACGCCAGAGTCCTGTGATGGCAAAGGCCGGGCCTCTGTGCCCAGCCCGCGCCCTTGTGAGTGCAGGGCAGGCATTGGCCAGTGGCAAGGAGGGAGGCATTGCTGAGGCTGAGGAAGGTGTCACAGGTCCATCCTGAGAGCCAGGTGCAGTCTGGGCTCCTGCGAGAGCTTCAGACCCGGCGAGAGCTGCTACTGCATTTGCTCCGCTTTCTCCCGTCCTCCGTGGCCCACTCCTACTGACTCGCGCGGCCTCGTCCGGGTGGACACTGTGGGTGAGCCCACCTGCTGCCCCTGGCCTTGTCCATCACAGCCAGGTCACTCCAGGGTGTCACCACCAGGGCTGTGTGAGTCTCCTCTGCAACCTCACTGCAGAGGGGGCGAGAACGTCCTGGCCTGTGCTGGGGAGAGCTCTGTGCGTGACAGCCAGAAGACCGGGGGCTGGCTACACTCGAGGTGTGTCCCTCCACAGACGTCACCTGTGAGCATCCACGGTGTCCTCTCTCCCAGCTCCCAGCCCTGCCCTCCCAGCTAGCTCTGTGCGAGCAGGTGTTCGGGCTGTCGGCGACATCTGTAGCTCAAGCTGTGGCTCAGACAAACTCCTACTACGGGGGCCAGACCCCAGAGGCCACCCGGGTGCTGTTCGTGAATGGTGAGTGTGCCCCGGTGCCAGCCCCCAGCCTGCCTAGCCGGGCTCTCCTGTCAATCGCCCCTTTCTTTCCAGGGGACACAGACCCCTGGCATGTGCTAAGTGTCACCCAGACCTTGGGACCCTCGGAGCCAGCCCTCCTCATCCCTAGTGCCTCACACTGCTCAGACATGGCGCCTGCGAGGCCCTCAGACCCCCCCAGCCTCCTCCTGGGGCGCCAGGTAAGGGAGGGCTCTGGGCAATCTGCTTGCTCATGCACATCCTCCTTCATGGGGGGCTTCTTCCAATGCTGCAGTCTGACTCGCAGAATTCTCCCCTCCTCTGCTAGAACATCTCCCAGCAGCTGCGGACCTGGCTCTGGGCAGCCAAGGACAGCCAGGTGAGAAGTGGGGTCTGAGCCAGCACGGCCCTGGGCCCAGCACTGTTCTGCAGAACCTCCTGTGTCTGCCAGCACCCATGCCCTGCCGAAGACTGCGACAGGCAGAGTTTGCAAATAAAGGCGGAGGGGGTCCTCCTCTGGGTGTCCTGTTTTGAATGCTAAGGGCTACCTCCCGCTAGCCTCGTCCCCTCCCACCCCCTGCTACTCAGCTCACCCTGCTCCTCCCACAGAGCCCCTTCTCAGCCCCTCCTCTCTGTTCCCTTTGTCTGTCACCACTTGCCTTGATCTTGCTCCTCAGCGTCTGTGTCTGTCTGTCTCAGGCCATGCCTTTCTCTGCCCTCCTCTCTCACTGCTTGGCCCCGGCTGTCTCCACTGCTGTCCCGGGCTCTGTTGGCCCTGTGTTTCTCTCCTCACTTTCCCTCCCTCTGTCCTCTGTCGCTGTCCGTCTCCTCAGCCCTCTGCTGTCCCCTTCACTGTCCTGCTGGTCCACTGTCTCCCAGCAGCCATGTGTGTCTCCGTCCCTGCCACTCTCCCTCGCTGTCGGCTTCTCTTCCGGGCACCCCGCCTGTGCGTTCTTTCTCTCAGCCCCCTTCCCAGCCCTCCCCACCATCTCTTCCCACAGTCAGCCTCGCCCCCTGGCACTTGCAGCCTCCAGCCCTAGGGGTCCAGGGTCCTCCCCCACCTCCCCCACAAGCCCTGGTTCTCTCTGAGTAGTGGCCAAAGGATCGGGGAGCAGCGGGTCAGGGGGAACAGGATCACAATTACCCTTCTGCTTGGAAGAACCAACCCTGACAAAGACAGGACCATCAGGCAAAGGGTAGTAATCCCAGAAAGAAAAGCTGACCGCAGGAAGTATGTTGAGGGCAGGCCACTAGGACAGCCAGAGGGAGGGCAGGGACCCAGGCTGGGCAGGGATGGTCAGAACTGTGGGGGGGAGACCAGGGCAGCCCGAGTCGGGGACACAGAGTGGGGGCTGCTCAGTCACACCCGTGATCCCAGGCGCAGGTGCAGACGCAGCCTAGGGTCTGCTGAGGCCATCAGAAGCACCAGGGCAGCGGCCTGGCCCTTCAGGCTGGGAGCAGGATGCTATTAATCAGAGATTCCAGGTTCAAGGTCACATAATTTCTTCTTCTCTAAACAACAAAACAAACGAAAAACAGAAACAAGCTTGCCTTATTCCGAGACTCAGAGTTAACCCTTTGCCACAGGGCAAACTCAGTCCAAGGGGTCTTTAATGTTATTTAGGTTAAAAAAGAGGCTTGGCCCGTACGGGGATCGAACCCACGACCTTGGCGTTATTAGCACCACGCTCTAACCAGCTGAGCTAACCGGCCACAATACATAACACCCTACTTCATCTTTCCCAACCACCATTGTCACCTCCGGTTTTCCTCAACTCGACTTCTTCTGGTTTATCTTAGAGGAATACGCTTCTTTACCCTCAACAAAAGCACTGACAAAGCTTTTCCTGAAAAACAAACAAATTAGCACGTCAGTTTCCACATCGCAGGCATGCAGTGGGAACCGGGCACTCAGACTGTCCGACCGGCGCTGACCCCCCGAGTCCAGGGTGCGCTAGTTGTGCCCTCGGGGTCGGGACCTCGTGGAGGCAGTGGCGGCCCAGAGACCCGGCCCCAAACCCGGGCTCTCTGAAGCCACTCGAGGCAGACCCCACGACGTCGGGCTGCAGGGAGATCCAGGGCTGCTCCGAGGCCTCCAGGCCGAGCGTGACCTCCCTAGCAACCTGCTCCCTAGGAAGGCCAGAGTGACAGAGGACATGTGTGGAGGCGACAATACAAAAAAAAAAAAAATAATAAAATTCATATTTCTTCACAAAGCAACACACTCCCTAGAAAGCCACTTGCCACCAGTCCGGAACTGTGGACTCCACGTCTGGCAGGGAGCACGCAGGCCCTCCTTCCCCACAGGCGGGTGGAGGGAGAAGTGGTTTCCTGAGTGCCCCCAAACCTGGTAGCTTTGAGTACTTCCTCCGGGATATTTTCACCATGGTGTATTTCTTTCCCTCTTTTCTGTATTTGTTGAAGTTATTAATAAACTCCATGACTCCACCAAACCCCAGGTGGGACAGTCTCAGGCTCTCAGTGGACTGATATGAAGAAATTGGGTATTATTTTTGAGAGAGAGAAATTTTTGCTATCGGGCACACGTACTTGCTGGAGAGACAGAGAGAGAAAGTGAGAAATCACCCTCCCTCCCCGGGGGGTGACCATGCTGTAATTCCTTCTCAGGGTTTTGAGCATGCACACACACTTGCCTGATGTGAGGTTTAGGCTGCCGGGTCCAGGACTCGAACTGCAGTCTACTACCTGGTGGTTCAGTGACGTAACTGTTATGCCATCTGCTGGTCCTTTTTTTTAATTTTAAAGAAGTTCTTATTTATTTAATTCCATTTGTTATTATTTTTCAATTTGAACAGAGAGAAAGAGAAAGGGAGAGAGCAAGTCATCAGGTCTAGGACTTGAGCCACAGTCGACCATGTGGGAATCCAGCGCTTTTAACAACCCTGCCACCTGTTGGCCCTGGAACTGTGTCTTATTCTATGGTTTTAATTTCCAAAATCTGTCTTCCTGACCTTGAGAAGCCAGGACCCCAAAGCTGAGACCTGCAGACCAGCCGAGTTTCTGCACAGCCACGCGTCTGCAGACTGCTGAGCGGGCGAGTGGGCTGTGCGGGGTCCCAGCGGGGCGTCACTGCAGGCTTCCCCGCCTGGCGGACACCGGCCACCCACTCCCGGACTGTTCCTACCCGGGGGGCGAGGGGCGCTGCCTGGCAGCGAGCCGGCCCCTCCCGAGCTAGTCCACGGCATCCGTTATTTTCCGGGGGTCGTTTGTGGCTTCCCAGACATGGAGGTGACAGAGCCTTCAGGAGCCTGTAAACGGGGCAGGAGCGGAGGGAGGCATGTTAGTGTTTGAAGGGAACTTTCCCCCAAGGCGCTCTTTCTCGCCTGGCCCCTGGACTCCTGTCGTCGTGACTTTAACAAATGACAACTTCCTGGAGGAAAAGGTCCACTCAGCATGAGCGAGCTCGAGCAGCAGGCAGCCCAGCCAGGGGAGGCAGAGAGAGAAGCGGCCCGCCCAAGGTTTCCGTAGTGTAGTGGTTATCACGTTCGCTTTACACGCGAAAGGTCCCCGGTTCGAAACCGGGCGGGAACATGCGCAGTAGTTTCTCAAAACCTGCTTTTTGAAGATCCTTTAATTCGCTCCTGGACTTGTGAGTACATCAAGGATCCTCCCAAAAGAGGAAGGAGCCTGTCCCATCGGGCAGCAGGGCTGTGACCAACCAGAGGCAGGGGGCGTGGAGGCCACAGCTCCTATCTGGAACGGGCCTCTCCCCAAGGCCCCCGGGGATTTCGACAAGGAAAAGGCGTTAGCTTCCGACGGCGCGTCCGTGGCCACTCGGGTGGGCATGGCAGTCTCCAAGAACGTACTTCCTGCCAGAGGAACGTTTTCAGTTTTCGCCTGGCCCCCGAGGAGAAGAGCACAGTGTGGGGTGTCGTGAGGAGGGGACAGGGTGGACAGAGGCGCAGGTACCCCATGAGTACCCCACAGAGGTCCCGCCCTCCTGCGCATGTCGCATGTCCTCGCCTCCGGGCTCACCTCCTGGCCCTGGGGCGCGCGCGGCCAGCACCACCCCTCCTGGCTCAGCCTCGGTCTGCAGAGACAGACGAGCTGAGCTCCTTCCTCAGCGGCCCCCCAGGGCGCTCCCTCGGTGCCCCTTCGCCCCTCTCCACCCAGCCCTCCCTTCTCCCTTCGGCCGCCAGCACATCGCCTTTGCCAAACATCAGCTGCGCCGGGGTCGCAGGCGCCTGAGCGAGGACAACAGCCAGAACCAGACGTGCCCTGGGCCGCCTCTGCCCCCCACACCCCCGCAGGTCGGACTTCGGGAGGAAGGAGCGGGGACAGCCCGGCTCCTCTTCGTCCTCTGACGCAGCGAGGCAGCACGCCCACGTGAGCGGTGGTGCGAATGCAGGACGGAAATGGGCGGCCTGCCCACGAGGGCCCACGCAGCCTCGGGGGACCGCGGGCACTTACGACATGCAGAGCACAGCGCCGTTCATACGGAAAGGTCGAGAAAGCACGTTATACCTCGAAAATAAAAAGGCAAGAAAACAAAAACTACGGGCAAAATGCCACTACCTGTGAAGAGAAAGAGAACATATTTGTGTAACTTTTCAGTGCATTTAAACTCTGGACCGGTCATCAAACACGGCGGTAACCTTTGCGCGACACCGACGGGGTAGAAGATCGGGTTTAAGGCCGCTGGGATGGTGGCGGGGTTCGGGGCAGGGTCTCTGCGCCGCCGCCTCCTGCGCCTGGTCCCGACGCCGGGCGCAGCCAGCGCGCGCTGACTCCGGCCGTCGGCGCCGGTCGGAAAGCCTGACCTGTGCGCCTGCGACGTGGAAAACGACGTCCTTGCCTCGTTTGGTTTTAGGGGAACGTTTGTCGTTTTCGTTAAGGGCGAGAGCAGTGAGGCGTCTTTCTCTAAGATAAATAAGAAAAGGGAGGGCTGAGGAAAATGCTTTAGCAGGTGGCCGTGGTGGACCCCAAAGGCATAGTAAGCAGCTGCTTGCTGTGGCCGGTTAGCTCAGTTGGCTAGAGCGTGGTGCTAATAACGCCAAGGTCGCGGGTTCAATCCCCGTACGGGCCAGCTCTTCCTTTTAACCTCCTGAAAGTAATACGTGCTTCCAAAGAAATTTGGTATTTTTTAACTTGTGGAAAGCAAGAAGTAATACGCCACTCTCTAGCAGGTTCACCTCCACCATCGTACTCTCTTAACCCACTCACAATCCAACTGTGTTGTCCAGTTCCCCTGTAGGACCTGGGACTGGGGCAGAGTCGTGTGGGTATGGAGTCAGGGGGAGGAGGGCCAGGATCGGGGAACCAGGGGAGGATGGGGTAGAGGAGACAGGAGAACTTGGGGGGAAGAAGGTGGGAAAAAAAACTGGGGACACAGGGGATGAAAGGGGGAACTTGGAGGGAGATGGGACGAGGGGCAAGGGTGGGGGACTTGGAGAAGTGGAATTTCTGGACAGGGTCAGGGAGACCTGCCTAATGGAAAAATAAGTGAAAAAGATGAG